GCTGATCATGTGACCTGTCCGGAGTGCCCTCAGAATTGGTAAGTAAAGCATCATTCCTTTCACAAAGAAGATAGAATAGGCTTAGAATGAGGGTGGGAGTAAATGTATTAATGATTTTGAATGAGATATTGTTAATGTTTGACTGAACTTCTGCTTTGAGGTCCTATTTGCTTTGATTGCTATTCCCACTGTCCTACATGCCACCAAAACGTGTCAAATTACCAAAAAATGCTCAAAATCAGATTTCAGTTCTCCACAGAGGACCATACATACCCTGTGCCCTACCCAATCACTGCATACCCAAAATCACAAAGAACTGGACACCACCAACTAGAAGAAAGTGGGAAAAAAGTAGACCACAGACAACCTGGAGGTCTACCTTCAAAACAGACCTGAAGGCCATCTAAGTCCCATGAGGCTGAATTGGACCTAACTGACAGAATTTGATGAAGAACACTTACTGGCCAATGTGTCCAATTGTGCGTGAGGAACTAAGTCTAAGTAAGTGTAAAGCAGACCTATACTAAAAAAATAAGCTTTGTTGTAAGCCTAATTCTGCATAATTTCAGAATTTCATGTCATAGAAAGTTCATAAAAGAGTATGGTATATATATGATAATTTTGCAACCCTTTAGGGTAGTCAGTTAATCAATGCCGAAGCACTGGTCACATGGTCTTTGCCATGCACAGCGACTTTGGCGACTGATGTCAAGAAAATTAGCAGCTCTACCGTAACGTTAGTCTTATGCCGAACCTGCGGCCGTTTGGTATTTGATGTCTGGCCCTTGGACCTCAGCAGTCTGTGGTGGGAACATTGATTAGGGTAATAGCATTGATATCTACTAGCCTTTTGTAACATCTTCCCAGTTTCGTATTGTCTTCAGCATATTCCCACCCAACAATGTATCCTTTCCACACTCTCTGACCTTCATTTCCTCTATTAGGTTGGCAGTTTCTAACAGCCCTCTCAAGCATTACATATATGGAACATTATATGTGGCCCTTTAGTGATGTCAGGGGCCACATTTTAGCCCCCCTTTAGCTCATAAGACAACCACTGCTTTAGGCGGTGGCCAATGCCCAGCAAGTCCTATGACCAAGCCATGGAAGAATGAACAATGCAATATGGCGCCAAGTTGGTCCACTCTTGCTGTACACACAAACACACTTTTCTCCTGAAAATCTACCCTATGGAAGCAATGGATGGTGGCATTCCAGATAAATGGTGAACTTTGTTTTTAATGGTCATCCATAAGGCAAAGTCCAGCAGGTGGAAAGACCTTTTACGCGTTTCATACTAATGAGTGCTTAATCATAGACAAAATGAGTAATAATGTTGCGCGTGTCATGTGACCAAGCCATGGAAGAATGATCAGTTATCCAGATTTACACAAGTACAACACAATAGGGCTCAAGGATGGGCCACTTTTGCCCCTATACAGACACACCAAGTGCTTGCCCGGCTTGCTACTGAAAACCTGAAGTAAAGGATGGTTGGCATTCCAGATAAATGTTGAACTTCTGTTATAATGGTCATCCACACAAGGAAAAAGTTTCAAAACCAATACGTAAAAAAAATACGTAAAAATGCTGAGCATGTCATGTGACCAAGCCATGGAAGAATGATCAGTTATTCTACTTTACACAACACAATACAACTCCAGGTTGGTCCACTCTTGCCCATACACACACATTCCGGGTGCTTGTCTAGTTTGCTACTGAAAACCTACCCTATGGAACCATTGGATGGTGGTCTTCCAGATAAATGTTGAACTTATTATTTTAGCGGTCATCCATAAGGCAAAGTCCAGCAAGTGGAGAGACTTATTACGGCTTATTCATAGGTGAAATGCGTAAGGGCTACTGCCTACCTCTCCACTCTTGCCCATACACACCCCCCTCTGGATGCTTGTCCAGCTTGTTACTGAAATCCTACCCTAGGGAACCATTGGATGGTGGCATTCCAGAAAAATGTTGAGCTTCTTTTTTTTAGCGGTCATCCATAAGGCAAAATCCAGTAGGCGGAGAGACCAATTACGTGTTTCTTGCTAACTTGACCTATGAAAAAGCTAATGTGCTTATTCATAGGTGAAATGCATAAGGGGCTACTGCCTACCTGCTCTTATAGATGACTACTAATGAAGAGGCTCAACTTTTATCTGGAGTGTTGTCATCCATTGTTTCCATTGTTTTTCAGGGACTTTTCTTTTGAACTGGTGTGTTCTAAGCTAGATCCTATGAGGAAGCCATATTCATTTTCAGCCCAGGCTTCCTCTGAGCCCCTCTGCTTTTACTGAAATATCTTCAAGTCAGGCAGTGGGGCAGTATGGAGTATTTATGGTTATTTACTGCATATGCATTAGGTATGGGGAAAATCTCTAGAGTTAGGGAAGGACTGGTGAATGGGATGTCTGGATGGAACTGAACAGTTCTGACACTAATATGAATTGATGAATAAAACTGAACAACATCTGGAAACATAACGCTCTGCGCATCTGTTCTACACAACCAAGGAAAGCTAATATAGAAAACAGGTGCTTAATCATAGGCGAAATGCGTACAACTGCTGAGCATGTCATGTGACCAAGCCATGGAAGAATGATCAGTTATTCTAGTTTACACAACACAATACAGCTCCAGGTTGGTCCACTCCTGCCCATACACACACATTCCGGGTGCTTGTCTAGTTTGCTACTGAAAACCTACCCTATGGAACCATTGGATGGTGGCATTCCAGATAAATGTTGAACTTATTTCTTTAGTGGTCATCCATAACGCAAAGTCCAGCAAGTGGAGAGACCTATTACGGCTTATTCATAGGTGAAATGCGTAAGTGGCTACTGCCTACCTCTCCACTCCTGCCCATACACACCCCCCTTCTGGGTTCTTGTCCAGCTTGTTACTGAAAGTCTACCCTATGGAACCACTGGATGGTGGCATTCCAGATAAATGTTGAACTTCTTTTTCAATGGTCATCCGTAAGGCAAAGTCCGGCAGGTGGAGAGAAATATTACGGCCTATTCATAGGTGAAATGCGTAAGTGGCTACTGCCTACCTCTCCACTCCTGCCCATACACACCCCCTTCTGGGTTCTTGTCCAGCTTGTTACTGAAAGCCTACCCTATGGAACCACTGGATGGTGGCATTCCAGATAAATGTTGAACTTCTTTTTCAATGGTCATCCGTAAGGCAAAGTCCGGCAGGTGGAGAGAAAATTAACGGCTTATTCATAGGTGAAATGCGTAAGCGCTACTGGGCTACTGCCTACCTCTCCACTCTTGCCCATATACACCCCCTTCTGGGTTCTTGTCCAGCTTGTTACTGAAAGCCTACCCTATGGAACCACTGGATGGTGGCATTCCAGATAAATGTTGAACTTCTTTTGCAATGGTCATCCGTAAGGCAAAGTCCGGCAGGTGGAGAGACCTATTACGGCTTGATCATAGGTGAAATGCGTAAGAGGCTACTGCCTACCTCTCCACTCTTGCCCATAAACACCCCCTTCTGGGTTCTTGTCCAGCTTGTTACTGAAAGCCTACCCTATGGACCACTGGATGGTGGCATTCCAGATAAATGTTGAACTTCTTTTTTCAATGGTCATCCGTAAGGCAAAGTCCGGCAGGTGGAGAGACCTCTTACACGGTTCTTGCTAACAAGTGCTTAATTATAGGTGAAATGCGTAAGAGGCCTCGGTCTACCTGCTCTTATAGATGACTACTAATGAAGAGGCTCAGCTTTTATCTGGAGTGTTGTCTTCCATTGTTTTCCATTGCCTTTCAGGGACTTTTCTCTTGAACTGCTGATCTCTTCTACGCTAGATCCTATGAGGGAACCATATTCATTTTTCAGCCCAGGGCTTCCTCCGAGCCCCTCTGCTTTACTGAAATATCTTCAAGTCAGGCAGTGGGGCAGTATGGAGTATCAATGGTTATTTACTGCATATGCATTGGGTATGGGGAAAATCTCTAGACTCAGGAAAGGATTGGTGAATGGGATGTCTGGGTGGAATTGAAGAGTTCTGACACTAATGTGAATTGATGAATATAACTGAACAACATCTGGAAACATAACGCTCTGCACATCTGTTCTACACAACCACGGAATGCTAATATACAAAGCGGCCCCAAAAAAAACTGTATAGAGCACTTAAAGTGTATGTCTGGGTCAAATAAAATACAAATGTGGTACATATCGTCACTACTAGTGATGGGCCGAACACCCCCCTGTTCGGTTCACGATCGAACATACAGCAAGATACCACTCAGCTACTAAAACATTCTTTATTGTTTCAGCTGTCAATGGGGGTCCCCGCTGACAGTTGAAGGTAAAAAAAATTGCTGCCATTACCCGCCAATTTAAAAAAAAATGTGTGGGTCCCCCCCATCCATACTATGCCTTTTGGGTCTGGTGTGGATTTTGAGGGGAACCCCCACGCCAAAATTAAAAAGGAAATCAATGCCAGACCCCCCCCTCAAAAGCACCTTGTCTCCATGTTGATAGGGACAAGGGCCTCTTCTCCATAACCGTGGCTGGTGGTTGTGGGGGGTCTGCGGGCGGGGGGCTTATCCGAATCTGGAAGCCTCCAGATCCTGTTCCTCTATGTGAATGAGTGTGGGGTACATGGTACCACTACCCATTTACAAAAAAAAAAAAAGTGTAGTGTAAAAAATACAGGAGACAGTATTTAACAAGTCCTTCATTAAAAACAAAAATTTAAAAAAAATGTCCCCCGAAGTAGATCCAACGTCAATCACGATGCCCGCCGCCGCCACCACCGCCGACCCGAAAAAAAAAAAAGGAAAAAAAAAAAACTCTCAACGCTCTCAACGCTCCGCCCTCAACGCTGGCTCCCGCCGTCTGACCCAGACTTCAATCAAGCTTCAAGTATGTTATATGAATTAGCAGCAGTGTTGACACCCCCCCCCCCCCCCCCCCCCCCCCCCCCCCCCCCCCATGATTTTTATTTTTACTGAGAAAACATAAAACATTTACTGACGGAGCACATTTTATTACTGACATCCTAAAATCTGACAAAAAAAGACTATTGATTTTCAGGCAGCATTAACAATACTCAAAATACTGACCATCAATGTAAGGAGCATTTTTCCCACTGATCACCAATGTAAGGGACATTCTTCCCACTGACCATTGTAAGGGATATTCTTCCCACTGACCCCCAATGTAAGGAACATTCTTCCCACTGATCCCCAATGTAAGGGACATTCTTCCCACTGACCACCAATGTAAGGACATTCTTTCCCTGACTGTAAGGAACATTCTTCCCACTGACAATGTAAGGGACATTCTTCCCACTGATCACCAATGTAAGGGACATTCTTCCCACTGACCACCAATGTAAGGAGCATTCTTCCCACTGACCCCAATGTAAGGGACATTCTTCCCACTGACCACCAATGTAAGGGACATTCTTCCCACTGACCCCCAATGTAAGGGGCATTCTTCCCACTGATCACCAATGTAAGGAACATTCTTCCCACTGAACCAATGTAAGGGACATTCTTCCCACTGACCACCAATGTAAGGAACATTCTTCCCACTGTGATCACCAATGTAAGGGGCATTCTTCCCACTGACCACCAATGTAAGGAAACATTCTTCCCACTGATCACCAATGTAAGGGACATTCTTCCCACTGACCACCAATGTAAGGGGACATTCTTCCCACTGACCATCAATGTAAGGGACATTCTTCCCACTGACCACCAATGTAAGGGCATTCTTCCCACTGACCACCAATGTAAGGGACATTCTTCCCACTGACCACCAATGTAAGGGCAACTGACATTCTTCCCACTGACCACCAATGTAAGGAGACATTCTTCCCACTGACCCCAATGTAAGGGACATTCTTCCCACTGATCACCAATGTAAGGGACATTCTTCCCACTGACCCAATGTAAGGAGCATTCTTCCCACTGATCACCAATGTAAGGGGCATTCTTCCCACTGACCACCAATGTAAGGGGCATTCTTCCCACTGATCACCAATGTAAGGGGCATTCTTCCCACTGATCACCAATGTAAGGGGCATTCTTCCCACTGACCATCAATGTAAGGGACATTCTTCCCACTGACCACCAATGTAAGGGACATTCTTCCCACTGACCACCAATGTAAGGGCATTCTTCCCACTGACTGTAAGATTCTTCACCACCAATGTAAGGGGCATTCTTCCCACTGACCACCAATGAAAGAGGCATTCTTCCCACTGACCACCAATGAAAGAGGCATTCTTCCCACTGACCACCAATGAAAGAGGCATTCTTGCCACTGACCTCTAATGTAAGGGACATTCTTCCCACTGACCACCAATGTAAGGAGTATTCTTCCCACTGACCCCCAATGTAAGGGACATTCTTCCCACTGACCACCAATGTAAGGAGCATTCTTCCCACTGACCCCCAATGTAAGGGACATTCTTCCCACTGACCACCAATGTAAGGGACATTCTTCCCACTGACCCCCCAATGTAAGGGACATTCTTCCCACTGATCACCAATGTAAGGGGGGCACATTCTTTCCACTGATCACCAATGTAAGGGGCATTCTTCCCACTGACAACCAATGTAAGGAGCATTCTTCCCACTGACCAATGAAGTGGTTTTAACAAGGGTTCCTCTGCCGAAAACGATAAAAAACAGGCCGGTCTACTAGTCTACAAGGTACCACCAAAAAACCCAGATTTCAACATCTGACAGCTCTATGCATAAATGATGCTCGCTCACTGTGCACTTCTTAAAGGGAACCTGTCATGATAGAAGTAATGCCAGCATGTCTACCTGAGCCTGGCATCACTACCTAATGAATCACAAGCACAACGGGAGATCAGTTCTGGAGGCACCATGAGGGATCAGTTATGGGGGCACCATGGGGGATCAGTTATGGAGGTGCCATGGGGATTAATTATGAGGGCACCATGGGGGATCAGTTATGGAGGCACCATGGGGGATCAGTTATGGGAGCACCACAGGAGATCAGTTGTGGAGGCACCATGGGAGATCAGTTCTGGAGGCACCATGGGAGATCAGTTCTGGAGGCACCATGGGAGATCAGTTCTGGAGGCACCATGGGGGATCAGTTATGGTGGCACCATAGGAGATCAGTTATGGTGGCACCATGGGGGATCAGTTATAGTTTTCCCCTGAGCCACTGGCTTTTTGAGTTTGGTGATGTGAGGTTAGCTATATCACTCTTGATTTCTCCGGACACACATACCAGTTATCCGTATGTATATTTTGAAATAGATTTACTTCTTAAAGTGGAACTTCACCCTAATAGGAAAGTAACACTTTATGTCTTCCTCCCCCTAACACTTTTGGACATTTTTTTGGGAAGAGAGTAGGCACCTGCTCCCACGTCTGGTCAGTTCACCTATGTCAGTGGTGGGCAACCTTTTTTTTCAACTGAGCCAAATCTCGCCAAAAACCACGATTGAAATTTATTTTGAGAGCCACATTTTTTAAAACTGAAAATACATCTCCCATATAGTAATTCATCCCCCATAGTAATTCATCTTCCATAGTAATTTCATCCCCCATATAGTAATTCATCCCCCATAGTAATTCATCCCCCATATAGTAATTCATCCCCCATATAGTAATTCATCCCCCATAGTAATTCATCCCCCATATAAATTCATCCCCCATATAGTAATTCATCCCCCGTATAGTAATTCATTCCCCATAGTAATTCATCCCCCATATAGTAATTCATCCCCCATATAGTAATTCATCCCCCATAGTAATTCATCAGCCATATAGTAATTCATCCCCCATATAGTAATTCATCCCCCATAGTAATTCATCCCCCATATAGTAATTCATCCCCCATAGTAATTCATCCCCCATATAGTAATTCATCCCCCATAGTAATTCATCCCCCCATATAGTAATTCATCCCCCATAGTAATTCATCCCCCATATAGTAATTCATCCCCCATAGTAATTCATCCCCCATATAGTAATTCATCCCCCATAGTAATTCATCCCCCATAGTAATTCATCCCCCATAGTAATTCATCCCCCATATAGTAATTCATCCCCCATAGTAATTCATCCCCCATATTAATTCATCCCCCATATAGTAATTCATCCCCCATAGTAATTCATCCCCCATAGTAATTCATCCCCCATATAGTAATTCATCCCCCCTATAGTAATTCATCCCCCATAGTAATTCATCCCCCATATAGTAATTCATTCCCCATATAGTAATTCATTTCTCCATATAGTAATTCATCCCCCATATAGTAATTCATCCCCCATATAGTAATTCATCCCCCCATAGTAATTCATCCCCCATAGTAATTCATCCCCCATATAGTAATTCATCCCCCATATAGTAATTCATCCCCCATAGTAATTCATTCTCCATATAGTAATTCATCCCCCATAGTAATTCATCCCCAAATAGTAATTCATCCCCCATATAGTAATTCATCCCCCATAGTAATTCATCCCCCATATAGTAATTCATCCCCCATATAGTAATTCATCCCCCCTTATAGTAATTCATTCCCCATATAGTAATTCATCCCCATATAGTAATTCATCCCCCATATAGTAATTCATCCCCCATATAGTAAGTCCCCCATAGTAATTCATCCCCCATATAGTAATTCATCCCCCATAGTAATTCATCCCCCATATAGTAATTCATCCCCCATATAGTAAGTCCCCCCTGTGTCAATTCACTTACCTTTGCTCCGCGCGTTCCTCTTGCCGTGTTCCCGCGCCGTTCTGGTCTTCAGGGCGGACTGTGAGAGGAGAGGAGTTCGTCACGCTGCCCCGCCTACATCCTGGCTGCCCCGCCTACATCCTGACAGCTGCAGAGTCCTGACTTTTGGGGCGGCCGCCCGAGAGGAGGGAGGGGAGGGGAGGGGAGGGAGCGGGCGCCCGGCACACAGAAGAGCCGCATTTAAGTTTGTAAAGAGCCGCATGTGGCTCGCGAGCCGCGGCTTGCCCCGACCACTGACCTAGGTGATTCCAGCAAAATTTCACCCCCCTTTGCAGCCACTTTTTCCTCGTGTCCCAGGAGGCTGCAGGACCACTCACACAGCACAGTGTGCGCATGCACAGGGGGAAGCTGGCTATGGAGCCGCAAGGAGTCATGGCCGGCTTCTCACACTAAACATGGTGCGCTGGGGAACTAAGGACTGGTGAAGAACCGGCCCAGGTGAGGACAGCGCTGGTTGGACAAGTATGTGTAGCTGCTGACTTTTAATTTTTTTTTCAAACATGCCGAAGATCCTCTTTAAGTATCTATTTTTTAACTGCGCTTCTAAATCATAACTGACATTTATCCAAACTGGGTGCCCAGATACTGTGGAAGTACAAATGCCAGCATGCTTTGTGAATGTGAAGCACATTGAGACCTGCAGCAGCAAGGTACCTGAAGTGTCAATAAAGCAGCTTCAATCTGAAGCACTGGGATTTTAATGGTGTCATACTCACTCATGTAACAATCTGATTGTACAATTCCCTTTAGATCCACAGTACCAACAAGTATGTAGTGCAAAGGCTTGCCTGGATATTGAAGGTAGGTCCACATGTTACATAGATTTGGTTGTATGATCAGATTGTAACAGGTATAGTGCGTGTGCCCTTTACAGACAGGAATCCCCCATCCATTGACAGGTGCTAAGAAACGTGCCTGTCCTTGCTTGAATTGCATGCTGCTGGTGAACATACACTGAATTTGTACATGGCATTTTCCATGGAGCTCAGGCACACACATTACCCTGCATGCTTGAAAATATCCATATGATGATGCATTCCTCCAACCTCTGTAATTCACCTCAATCATGGCTCATCACAGGAGAGATCCCAACAGGAAAGATCGTGTCCAAGCAGCAATGGTCGAACACGGCAAATTTTTGGATCAACGTTTGCAAAAGGATATGTCTGGGGAGAATCAGATCTCGTGTCTTGTATGATCTTACACAGGCTGGACAAATCTTCATATATGGCACAAAAAATGGCCGCTGCCCCAGTCTATAACCGGGCTTTACAGCAAGGAGCACATGGAAGGGTGACGCATGTCAAAACAACAAAACATAAAAATTCTAACTTGCCAGCCAGCCTGCAAACAAACCGAATTTACCTGTCTAACAGTGTGCGTTAAAACAGGGGTTTAGTTAGCACACATTTGCAAATACATGCGTAAGTCACAGAGCCACGTCATGGCACCCCGATATTCTGTAGTTCCTAACTCTCCATTTTTAAGAGCCCCCATAGTAGAGGCACATATATTAAATGAATATAATGGACCTGAGGGAGCCCACCCCTCCTTAAGGTTACAGGAGCGCACTGGACACCCTGCATGTAGCACAATGGCAGCCAAGCTGTCCAGTGCACCCCTTCGACCAGCAATTCAACAGTACAAAAAAATGGCCGCTGTCCCAGTCTATAACTGGCCTTCACAGCAAGGAGCACATGGACGGGCGACGCATGTCAAACAACAAAAGAGAAAAGTTCCCGGCTCAACTTGCCAACCGGCCTGCAAACAAACCAGATTTACCTGTCTAACAGTATGCGTTAAACACAGGGGTTTAGTTAGCACGCATTTACAAATACATGCATAAGCTGCAGAGCCTCGTCATGGCACCCCGACATTCTGTAGTTCCTAACTCTACAATTTGAGAGCCCCCATAGAGGCACATGTATTTAATGGATAGACCAAGGGCAGATGGACCTGAGGGAGCCCACCCCTCCTTAAAGGTACAGGAGCGCACTGGACACCCAGCATGTATCACAATGGGTGCTAGGGTGTCCAGTGCGCCCCCTCGACCAGCAATTCAATAGTACAAAAAATGGCTGCTGCCCCGGTCTATAACTGGCCTTCACAGCAAGGAGCGCATGGAAGGGCAACACATGTCAAACAACAAAAAATAAAAATTCCCAGCACAGCTTGCCAACCAGCCTGCATACAAACCGAATTAAATCTTCATATATGAACTGTGACCCATTAAACTGTCATGGAATAATGGAATATATATACTGTGACAGTGTGGCAATCTGTCACGATGAAAAAAGGATATTGCGCCCAGCA